TGTGTGTATAGATGTGTGTGTGCTGGATCCTTCTAAGTTTACACACCCTCTGTCTACCCCCTCCTGTCCTTTTCTTTCCCACTTTTCCACTCAAAACTGCCATTCTGTGAACTCTTTTCCACTTATCTTCTATTACTTGTGTCTTGTTTGTGTGCATTCATGTGATTTGCCCTCTTTCTCTCCTGCTGGATCTTTGCTTACCTGATTTCGTTGCGGGTCTCTACTTTTAACTGTTCCTGGTGTGTGGCTTTACTGCGTCATCGCACTGCGGGTTTTCACTGACCTGATGAACCAACGATTTGCTGTAAACTCCTCTTGGTCCTTCAACCCATCATCCGAACTTCCAACACTTCCTTTAATTGTCAATCCATCATTTTCTACAACAACCAACCCCACTTCTTCTCTCTGAATTCAACCATTCTCTAATCATGCTGTCTCTCCCTGATACTGCCTTCGCTCTACGCTGGGAATCATCACCTCCACATTCCTCACACCTCCATCGCTCTGCCCCCTCCCTTCTCCTCTACACCTTCCTCCCCCAACAGCAGTGTAAACAGCACCCACAGTAGTGCCTCCCGTTCGTCAGGGGGAGGTGGTAGTGGTGGTGTTGGTGGCGGAGGCTCCTTGCCCCACTCGCCCACCTCATCCTCCTCCTCCTCCTGTCGCTACCGCAGCAGCCTGCCGCACCAGCCTCCACCACCGGGGGGCATTGCTGCCCACCGCCTCAGCAGTGTCTCCTCACATGATTCGGGCTTCGTGTCCCAGGATGCCAACATCTACTCCAAGCCACCCTCACCTATGCCCTCAGACATCACTAGTCAGGTACAAATGCCTCATGGACAAATTTACATTATTTATGTGACCCGTTCAGAGTTACTGTGGCTTAAATTGCTGGCTTCCAATGACACACGCACAGCCTGAAATTTTTGGTCTCTATTTTAAGGACAGCCAGCAGGTAAACTAAACATTTCAGTGTATCTTTAAAATAACAAAGGATAAATATTTAAATAGAATTTAATTACTGGATATCTAATGAAAAACATTAAGTTTCACACATGTGTTTTGGTTCATGGTCTAAACTCTTATCGGTTTGTGTCACTCTTATTTCTTTCCTGGTGTAGAAATCATCCAGCTCAGCTTCATCAGAGGCCTCAGAAACATGCCAGTCAGTCAGTGAATGCAGCTCCCCCACCACTGTAAGTATTCTTATTCATAACATATAACATGGACAGTCTGAAATGCAGCATAAAAAAATTAAAGCAATAAAAGTGTGGTCATAAAAAGTTAACAAATAAAGGTCAGTGTGTGTACAAGTAGTCCTTATGAGCCAAAAGCTCAGGCTTCAGACTTTCCTAAACACTCTGTTTCTGAGAGCTTCCTCCTCTGTATCATGTCAGAGCGAGAGGATATCACAGACGACCCATCCTTGTGTGAAAATTAGCTTTAAGCAGTGGCTCCCAAACCTTCTCTGGCATGCTCCAATTAAAGAGCCGAAAAAATGAATAAAAAATTAGATGATTTTTATAGTGTCAACAGATTCTTGTTTGTTTTTACCCTCCAAAACTTATTCTTAGTTATGATTGTTATACATAACTATTCTTCTATTGGTTTCACTTGATACTTATCCATACTTATCCATATTCACGCTATGTATGCATAGTGCATACATGTAGTATTGAGTATATAGTGGGTCTATGTCCCAGTAGTGGGGCCCAACTTAAAGAGAGGGGGGCTATAATGATTTGCTTCACATGGAGGATAGAATGAAGGCCCAGTATAAGAGAAACAGGAATTATTGTGAGCTGTGGATCATACAAAATTATTCTAGTTAGCATA